AATAATAATAAATAGTGATGATGTGTGCATGCATAGATTAATGTGGGAGGCTAGAGTAAGTTAAATATCTGGTACTGTGTGGAAATCAGCAAATCAATGCCTGCAGTTTTTATTTATTTCATAGATTTCTGTAACACCCTATTAGGGCAAGGCTCGATTCTCGGTGGTTGACAAAAAGGATAAAATCTGCAAGAAATGATAATGAAGCCATTGTGGGCATGGATGGGGAATATAGTACTGCTGGTGAGAGGAGAGATCCAACCTCTTTACTTTCTGGTTTCTGCATCTGGAGGCCAGGCATGGGCGCTTGGGAGCCCAAGCCTCCAGGGCGGCCGTGGGTGGGGGTTTGTGCAGGACAGACCCTGGAGATCAGGGAGGAGGAGGGTGCCGCTGATTCTAGCCATCGAGTGTGAAAGGAAGCTGGTGGCTCAAAAGGGTGGATGGAGTCCCAAGAGGTTGGGGCCAATACAGTCGGTGACTTGCATGCCTCCTGGGCAGGGGAAGGATGTTCAGCTGTCCGGATGATTTTAAAAAAAAAACACCAGCTTCTGGATCTGAGAGGAGAGCTCTTTGAAGCAGGAGGGCTTCCCTTGGGTTGACTTTTTGCTCACTGCTTTTTTTTGGGGGGGGGGGCTTTTGTTTTTCTCATTTATGAGAAACAACACCCCCCACCTCTTTTGCTGGTCTTCTTTTGAGACACGGCTGCCATGTCTTCTCCCGGATCTGTTTGCAGCAGCGTAGACAAGTTACACAGCCTTGGGAGTAGCCGCCAGACCAAAACACAAGTCTGGGAGGAAGAAGGAGCAGCAGTGGCAGCATCAGCTTTTTGAACCACCCGCCTTCAGTTTTCAGCAAGACAGAAAGAAGGAACTGTAACTTGGCCCTGGTCCGGTCGGTCGCTCTGGCCTGATTTGAGCACACCTCAGCCTCCTCCACTTGGGCTGAGCTCTTCCCGCCCCTGCCCCCTTCCGCCACTCGCTCAGCTTTTCCCCTTTTGGGAATGCGCCTGCTGGCGAAAAGACCCTCCAGCAGATTTTGGTTTCTTTCCAGGATATCAGTGCAATCCTTGCAGGGCGTGGAAGGAGGAGAAGGCGGCGACCTAGCTTCAGCCTTCGGAGCCACCCCCACCCCCCTGGTCAGGAAAGCAGGCTCCCCTCGGCCACAGTGGCATCCTGTCCGGGAGGTGGGGAAGCCAAAGGAGCCCCCACAAAATGATCTCTGGTCCTGCGAAGACAATGCGATTTCGCCCCCCCCCTCTCGGTTGGACAGATGGACCAGGCTGGGGCTGCCTTTTGTACTGGAAGCCCACCAGTCGGCGATCTTAGAAGAGACCTGGGGAAATAGTGCGCTGTCTCTTTAAGACATGGGGCGGGGGGGGAAACATCTCTCGCCCCACGGCTCCCCCCCCATCTCGCCCGCCCCCAGCGCCAGGTTTCCCGGCACGCCTTGGAGCTTTTAAAGCCGCCGCATGGCTTTTCGGGCCAGTCCTCCCGGAGCCTCTTTGCAAAACAAGCAAACTACAGCTCCCGTGAGCCTTTGCGGAAGCCCCAGGCGGGACTGTGTGCTCGGCCGGGCAGCGAGGACTCCGTTACCCGACATGCACCGCTCCGGATTGCCACTACGGGCAGAGGCGTAGGCGAGGGAGGGGAGAGGAGCAGGAGAGGAGTCCGGGAAAGGTGCGGCGCATGCGCGGCGCGGCGCCTGCCGGGAGGCGCAGTGCCTCTGCCACGTTCCGCGCGGCGGGCCGTGCGGAGAGAAAGACTCCACCTCCCGAGATGCCCCGCGGCGGAGCGCAGGGGAGGGGCGGGGCCGTGCGCTCCCA